ATTATTATTATTATTATTATTACTATTATTATTATTATTATTATTATTAAGCCAAATTATACGTGTTTGCACAACTATTAAAATTTACAGCTGTTGGAAAAATCATGTTATATGCATTTTCCACTTTTATATCTTTAACACACAGAGAACCAACAAAGATCTCCTCTAAAAACTGACTAACATTTAAAGAAGAAAGACGAGCTTCTTTATCACGGACATGAAGATCAGCGCTGGTTACTCGAGTCCTCAGTGCTTTACGTTCAGTTTCTTTTGCTCGAAGGCTCTCCTCCTGTGAAACCAGAAGCTGCCGTGAACTTGAAAGACGTGATTCCAAGAGCCGTTTATCTTGAAAAATTTGAAATTATTTCTCTAATTCTTTGAATTTACATGTGATGTAAATTGCAAAAATCACATTTCTTCACATTTCTAGAATCACATGAAATCACATTTTTTTCCCTCTCTTCATCTGAATCGATGTAAAAATCACATTTCTTCACATCTCTAGAATCACATGAAATCACACTTCTTTTTCCCCTCTTCATCTGAAAATCCACATTCTCATCAGACAAGTTTACCTTCTTCGAGGTCGACTAGCTTCTGTTCCAACAAGTGGATTTTATCTAGACATTTCCGATTTTCCTCTGACATCCATTCTTTGTCAGCTTTCAAGCGAACAAGGATGGTTGATTCATCAGCCTGCACGAGGTAATTAAATCCAGCAATTATCATCATTATTAAATCATTTCTCGGAAAAAATTTTATAATAAAAGTAACCAAATGTGGAACCACGAAAGTTGAGCCTAAAATCTGAATTTGCTAGAAGTACTGTGAAGAAATTCAATACTGAAATAAAATTTTTTACAAGTATAACTAGTTATAAGCAATAAATTGGTACCCTGGCCTTTTCAAGCTCGTCAATGCGATTCTTCAAATGTTGAAACGTTATTTCAACGGATGAACTTATATCCAAACTGCCGGGATAAATCGATTCGATGCCAGAGTTTAAATCGAAGCGTACATGAGGAGTAAAAGACGCTGAACTGCTGCGACGTAGGGATCCTTCACCTTAATGCTTCAAGACTAATTCATCTCTTTGAATTTCATCAAAATGGCATTTAATAAGGTGATAAGGTATAAAAATTCCAAATTTAAAATTCCCAAAAAATTTAAAACGCTTCATTACTAGTCCTGTGCTGAATGATATAGTCTATTTCTAATAAAAATTGATGCAATATACACAAATAAAATGAGATGTGCACGAATCAAATAAATCGTCCGACGTTAGAGAATCATAGTTGCTATGTACCTTATTAACTTATAGATATAAACTTATAGATGCCATTCCACAAATAATTAGCTGATTTACCTGATCGTGAGAGATTTCGACTTATAGTTTTTGTATCCATTTCTGAAACACACGATCGAAATCTTGGTAGATTACGAGCTTCTGCAAATGAGATCAAATACTTAAAAATTAAATATATTAATTACTTTTTAAATAATATAACCAAGATCTCCATCCGTCACTACAAAATTTTGTGGTCCTCACGGAATTTTGAGAAAAACGATATTGAAAATTCATAAGTTTATTACATGAACAAAGCCGAATGTAAGTGTCTGGTATGTTGCCGAAAATAAATGATAATATTTGTTGGAAATTGAACTTACTTGCAAAACTTAATGCTCTTTTAGCACTATTTTCAAAATGTGCCACCTTTTTTACCAGCTCTTTTCGCAACATTTCAGATTCTGCTAATTTCTGTTCAACGTTCATTCGTTTTGAATCTTCAGTAGCCAATAGATTTCTGCATAGAATAAAATAAAAATTAAATAATTCAAAAGGTCTTCAAAGAAACCTTTCTTGACCGAAATTACCAAATCATCCCTTGCATTGCACCATTTGATAATGATTTCGCTGTAATAATCTCTGCTAATTATGTATCTGCTGCTAAATCACGATCCTTAAAGAAGGTTTAGGTCGCAGAATGTGCTCCTGATATGGGCAAAACGAATTTCCCCACTATAAACATTATTTAAATAAAAAATAGTATGATAAAAACAATTATGAGTGAAATAAAGAAAATAAAAAGAATTTACCTCAAATTTCTTACTTCATTAACAATACTTTCCTTTTGACGTATAGCTTCAAGACGACCTTTTTCTGTAGCCTTATAGTTTCCTACCATATCACTTAATGCTTGTTGATTTGTTGCTATTTTTTGCTCCAAAACACAACGTGTATGGGTTAGATCACGTGACAGTTTTTCATTTTCAGCTTGCAAAGCTGCTATCATTTTTTCGGTTTCATAGCTCTGTTGAAAATTTGAGGTTACTGAAGATAAATAAATGGATTTTTTACTGAGATCATTAAAAATAAATAAATGAATTTCTTCTTGAAACCACTAAAAACAAATAAATGGATTTCTTCTTGAAATCACAGAATCATTAATAAATGTTTTTTTCTAAGAAAGTATGAATAGCTCCACAAAGATTGCAGAGTTAGTCGAATTAAATAAATGCTTAACTAAATAAACAAATAAATACAAAAGTATCGACGTTGCATTTACTTTTTCTATTCAATCCAAGTTGAAAAATGGTGACTGAACAAATCCCTTTTCTTGAAAATGCAGTTATTATTAAATGAAATGAACAGGCTGTAATGCATAAACCTAGCAGGCATTAAAAATTTCTATTCACTATACAGCTTCAAAGTCTTCATACCAACGGTCTAGGGAATATAATTTTTAAAAACCTTTTGCCTTTCTTCTTCCAATTCTTCTGTCGTCCGCTTTTGTGTGTTTTCAGACTGTTTGAATACAATTGTCAAGGTTGATAAATCGCTTGTTTTCTCTGATAACGCTACTTCCAGCTTCTTATTCTGAAACGCCCCCGGAAAGATTTCATTCTTAAATTTGCTTAAATTCTAAAGATTGCTTAATAAATAATAAGTTGAAGAATTGAATGCGTCAGCTACCGTCAGATGTATGCATGTTTTAGCATAACTATTCGGATTCTAGGACTAAATCGCACCACTATTATCATAACCATATCTTTCGTATGTGATCACATCTAATTTTAAAATTGTTTACCTCATCTTCCAACTGGTTCAAATCGTTTGATAACTTTTTTATTTGCTTCTCCTCATCTTGCAGTTTGCTTTTCATTATTACAATCTCTTTTTGTAAAACCTCTTCGTTACTTTTCATTTCTGAAATGGAAAAATTAAAGTTCGCACAGGACTATGGAAAATGACTCCCACATGGCTATTAATTAAAAGAATTCAACTTATTCCAAGCAAGTTTCGATTTATTATATCAGCTTTGTTTGGTTAAGCACACAGTGAATTAAATATGAACAAGTAGGTACAAGCTTTTGTGTGGTGCAGATTAGTGTAATCCGAACAGGATTTGATATGTAGTCTTCTACAAGTCAAAATATGTCAGTTAGCCAGTCATTAGTCCACAATTTCTTGAGAAAAAAGATTATGCAAGGAAGTTCGTTTTGGAAAATCATTAACTAGGAAGATGTCGTAATTACAAATTGTGAGCTTTTTTGCTGAAAACACAAATACATTATATCGATCCAAAAATAAAATGTGGAACCAAGCAAATTATATATTTCTGTAGTGAAGTCAGAAGTTTTCAAAACCGATCTTTCTGAGATTCCACAAGTAAAAAACAAAAATTTTCGCCATTGAGATACAAGCTAGACTTCGTCGTAGTCGTAATAGTCTGATAAATTATTTGGAGGAATAAAAATAAAATAATGCTTTCTAAATTATAATAAGTTGTATTGAAAACACTCAAGTCAATAATTTTATTTTAAAAAAAAGTGAAATTTCCAAAAATTTTACTTCAAAGACTTCAAATCAATTTTTTTAAGTCGACAAAATAAAGTGAAGATTTAGACCAAAATTATACCTTCGACTTGAATGCAGGCTTCTCGCAATAAGACTTTCAATTCATCTCGTTGTGTTTTCAGATCATTTTTTTCCCGTTCGCGATCCGCAAGGTTGCTTTTGAGAACAGCTTCTTCATTCATGCGTAACGAAATTCGGCTCTCTATTTGTTTCAGTTCATTTTCAGCCGTCGATAAATTTTGTGTTTCTTGAAAAGTTTTATTACTAAACAGATAACCAGCGCCATCTTATAATGAATTTTTCGGATTGAAAAAATGTTAATAGTCTTTTGAGGGTATTGTATTAGCAGTGGAAGTAATAAGTTGATGATAATGACAGCAAGAAACAAATAATTAAAAGTATTACTTGACTTTCATCACCAAATCACTTACTGCTCTTACATATAATCGAAAACTTCCATCATACCAGTTATTGTTGCTATATCATCATATTATATTCATATTACCTATCATAGCATCATAAATGTAGTTACTTATTAAGCATTTATTTACTTACTACTCTGTCCTATAGGGTAATCAAATCACTTAAACTGTTTTATTATTTATTTGATTTTTAAATCTTTTCTAGCAGGTTAAGTAATATGGCAAAAGAATAAAAAACATCCAATTACTTTTATCTAAACGGCTTTCAACAGACTGAAGCGTCTTTTCTAATTTCAAACATTTTGTTTGTAAATTTTCAATACTGTAACGTGCTTTCACAAGCTCGTCATCTTTCAACCTTATTTTCTGCTCCCATTTGTGGCGATCTTGATCCAATTTCTCCAGTTCCATCTTCATTTCTTCGCTAAAAAACCTTTAACTTTGAAACCTTCAAGACATAGCCAAAAGTGTATAAACCTAAATATTTTGTCCAACCATTTCCTACTAATCGGATCAAACTACCTCAAAATTACTTACTCTTTCCTGCTTATTTCGGACTGCGTCAATTTGACGGTATCTTTTTCACGATCAATGAGCAAATTTAAATCCACTATTTCTCGCCTCAAATTGGACTCTGCTTCTCGACTTTGCTGGAGTTTATTATTTAACATTTTCATATTAGTCTCCATTTCCAATACTTTCGAATTGTACGAACTGTCTTTCTACAGAAAAAAAATTAGGTACACATATTTTCTCATCTAATAAGGAACTAAAATAGCCATAAAAAGAAACAGTGTGCGCCTATTTCTGATGGAAGAAACTACTTTATATAAATTTCAGGGAAAAAAATTAAATTTAATACAAACTCTGGCAAAGATAAAAACAAGAACTCAATATATCTTAAATATAAAATTTCTTAGTTATCCCACATTTCCTCTAGAACACAGAAGGGGGACTGTAGAATAATTTGGCAAAAAAATTCAAAGGCATATGAATTCAAAGGCATATTGACCAGCAATCCAGAAAAGTTAACATATTATATCCTTTACCTTTCAGCCATTGCGTACATGAAATACACTTCAAATTGCTAATCTTTTTTTCCTGACAAAACAAGGCTAACCTCAGTAAGGATTTTTTCCCATTCCGTAGTTTCCTCAACATATCGTTCTTTAATAGCATCTAGTTGTTCCTGTAACGAAGTCATTTCTTTTTCACATCGTTCTTTTTCCTCGTCCAATTGAATACGCAAGTTTTCTTTTTCAAGCATTACATTTTCATACCGCAAAGAAAGTTCTCGCGTTTTTTCTTCGGCTCCGGCTAGCGATTTCTCCAAATATTCCTGTGACAAAAACTTTTGATTTGAGTAAAATTTGACTTTCAAATCAGCACTTTCATATTGAATACGAAGATACACTACAATTTGACCACTGGTTTGGATAAAACTTCAAATTATTCCAGCTTTGATTCAGAATGATTAAATTCAATTCAACTTAAACCTGATATATCTACATTTCATATCGATTTGGACTTGGTAGCTCAAAATATTCGTTTTAATTTACTGATCAACTCGTGACACTTTTTAATGCTACCTGTTACAACCATTTGAGTAAGCATCGATGTGCATTAAGTGCTTAAGATATGCGATTATGGTATTTGCTTCAGAGCACAAAAAAATTTTTGGTACCGTAAATAGAGTGACAACTCGGAAAGAGAAATCACAGCTTATTTGATCCGTGTCAGTTAAAGATACTGAATTACATGTCAATTAAAGATGCAGCTATTCATGTAAGACAAGACGTATTCAGAAACTGCGATATTATAAATTTACGGAAATTTATGGTTGAGTCAATCTTTTTTTATTATTTCTTGAAAATTTTACCTTTTTTTTACGCAAAGCAAATACTATATCGTCGTAATTCTCCATTTCGCTTTTCTTTTGGATGAAAATTTTTTTTTCTATTTCGCTATATTCACGATGTATACGCTTCAACTCCTCATCATGCTCTGATTTAATTCTGTCATTGATTTCTGGAAAGAGAAAAGGAACTAAAACTGAAAATTAAAGTATTCTAGATGATTTATTAATACCAGAACATTCATTTTCCTGATCCACAAGCGGCTTCTTGGAAAGGCACTATTTAATATTATCCCATTTGAGAGTACAATAAAAATTAGTTGGTTCACTTCAAGTAGTACTGGAAGCTAACAAATTTTTTTTAGTATAGTGTCGATAAAGTTTATATTCAGGAAATCATTTTCATCCCAACAGTAAAATCTAAACAATTAATCCTTTCGCAAAACAACTGATGATTTCGGATATGAATGAAATCATTGCTCGAATAAATTACTAAATTACGAACCAATCTACAATCATATCTTTACAAACTAACCATTTAGTCGGGCTATTTCAAATTGTGAATCAGCTAATGCCTGTGATGCTTCCCGCTCTTTCACTTTGTATTGTTCCAAAACATCATGAAGTACTGTTCCCTGCAGTCCAGAAGAAAAGTGAGCTTTTACAAAACCATAATCAAATCATCAGTAACTTTATGATCCATATGGTTGCCTGATAATCATTGTTATTACTTTAAACTACAATCAGGAGCTAGATCATATTTGAAATTCTGTTACCTGGGTGGTGTGACTTTCAATGCATTTTTCTAAATCTGTAATCTTTTTCTCCAGTTCAATCGTAGTGTTAGACATTCGACCAAGCTCATCTTTTAAATCTGAATGTTCTCTGAAATAGAAAACTTTCGGATAATTTTTAGATTGATGGAATTACTGTTATTTTTAAAGTCTGTTAACAAGCTTTTGATGAATTACAAGAGTGGAAACGACAAGATAAAAGAATAACATCTGGAATAATAAACATTAATGCAAGAGTTTGATATCCTGGAAAACCCTACGCTACATCCTTAGAACTCAAATATTTATTTAATGTTGCGACCATAAATTTGTCGGGGAGAATTTCACTTGATACAAAATAACTAAGTTAAGATTCATCTTTTATGTTTCGGAAAGCTATGTCATACCTTCAAGGTCCCTATAAAGTATTTCATTGTGGATTCGCAACGACCAAAGAAATTTTCTCAACGATTATGTCAAATAAAATATTTGAAGAAAGAGTTCAACTTCCAGGAATTGTCACAACAAGCTAATGTTACATTGAAGATAGTCCATAGTATGCTGAATTCAATAACACTTATGTGCTATTGAATTCGTCAGCATACCATTACGACAATTTGTAGCAGAGAAATAGTTGAAAAAGCACTCTAGCAAATATTACAATGAGGCAATTAGAACAATACTGTGATAGCGATTGCTATTAGTAAAACTCAAATGTGACACATATTTGAAAGCAAAAACAAAAGAACAGTTAAGGTAATGACTAAGTGAAACAAACGACAAATAATAAAGTAGTGCAACATAGTGGGAATTGTAAATAATAAATTCTGTTCCTTTTTTCTACAGCTAATTTAAAATTCCTTCACTTCTCCTTTCATTTTTTATTTTTGATGCATACTTTAACATATACATACAAAAAAAAAAAACTAATTTTGTGTACTACATGTGCAACAAAAGGCGCATCATTTATCACTTTTTTAATTTATCTTTCTCCCAACAATTACAAATTAATTATTACCTACGTATATAGATAGCTCACTATATGGTTCCCTGCAATCCAACTTATGGTTAGGGGATTACTGAAATGGGGAAATTTTGGAAAAAATAATCATATAGTAACTCAAAGCAGACTCCTGGAAAAAATTCGGAATCAAGCGAATGTGTAATCCTGACAAACCCAAAACAATTTCAATTTGTACTATATGATGCTTGATTTCGAAGCGAATGTGTAATCCTGACAAACCCAAACCCAAAACAATTTCAATTTCATAATAAAAATGAATTAGAACTAGTGCAGATTAATCCCAACTAGACAACGGATAAAATTGCAGAATCTATGGACTCATACTTCCTGTTTTTGTTTACAAGAGAATTTTGAATGATATTACTTCAAGAGTTTTGTTTTTCTTGATCGAGTGCCAAAATCTTCCCAGCACTTTGTTCCAATTCTTCTTTTCTCATCGCCTGTTCTACCTTAGTATTAAGAATTTGCTCATTTGTCTGAAAAAAAAGAAAGTTGATAGAATTAATATATCCATCATATACTTTGCCATTATTTGAATCGTCTGCCTATATGGTGCACCTAGCTCCGAATATCGGCTTAGTGAAAGATTTCATCTTTTAAGGCAATTTATTCACTGGTTGAGCTAAATATGGTTTTGTTATGCAATACTTTAAGTTCAAACAAATGCATTTGTCCCAATCGAAAATTAATTAGTGAAAAAACTGAAAACATAAAAAAAGTCAACAAAACCGAATCAATTTTAAGTTCATAGTCTGTCACTGTTTTCTCCAGTAAGAAAATTTTCTGATCACGATCTTCCAGTTGCATCGTAATTTCAGAAATTTTTGTAGTAGCATCTAAAATGGTAGAAAAGCAACCATAGAAAAACAGCTTTGTTAAGTATACTTCAACATACTAGCTTCATTATGATAAAGGGAATTGGAATAGATAAAGAGATCTTTTAATTTGATTAAGGAATCTTTAAATTAGTTAGTTTAATACTTCATTTCATTAGCAGCATTTCAGTCAGATGGTTAGAATACTGAAAATTTAAATTATTTATACTCTAAATCCATAATATTTTTCTGCTAGTCTCAGTGATCTTTTGCGATGAGAGCTTTTGCGCTTTTGCTAAGTTCCCATTTGGAATCATACCACAAGATAAATTTATGCCAAATTTGCTAAATTTCAGCAATAATCACTTCTAACTTCAGGTTCATTAATTCAGTTTCAAGCTAACGGACTAATGTTCGAGAATGAGAGAAGTTAAGGATCCATTAGAGATTTTTGCAAGGAGTAGCATCAATTTACCCACATTTAGAACTGTGTCCCAATCTTTATTTTTAGTAGTGCAGTTCATAGATTCTCCACGAGTTGGATCTAATCAACTGCAGATACTGTCTATTGCATCAAAAGGACGAATTCAGCCATTTGATAACACCTGTTATTATCTTTTGATATATTCAAAGTATTAATAAACACACTTTCCAAAGCTTCTTCATTCTGCTCCAATACATTCTTGTTTTCCATAATATTAACGCGCAATGTATTGATATCTGCCAACAAAGAGGTATTCTTAGTTACCAAAATTGACTTTTCATTTTGAAGCTAAAAAAATATTTGTAAACTGAATTCATTAAATAAATGATCGACCAAGTACTTTTTGTTACAAAGCAGTATTACTACGATGTACTTTTATTTGTAATGGCTACATTAAACTTACTTTTCCCAAAATTTCATCCTTCTGTTTTGCTTCCAATTCTAAATCGTCAATATTTCGTTGCAATTCTATGATACGTATATCTTTCGCATCATTTGCAATCTTATTATCTCTGTTTTCATCGCGTAGGTTCCGCAATGCTAACTGATGTTCGAGGATAATATTTTCTAAAAATTTGCAATAATTCCCAAGTTACAATCATCTCTAACAAAAATGAACACTATTTTATATTATATTTCATCATATTGAGTCATTTCCAATAGAAAACATAGAATTCTGTAGAATCCGATCCAGGCAAACACTGTGAAAGCATAATTAGATAAGTGAGATGTTACTACTATAATGGCCATATTGGCCATTAAAACATAGTGACTTAAACTACAAACGGTTTAATGTTGAACAAAATTTTTAGTTTTTAATAATGGATTAATATTACAAAAACTGCGTTTGTTCTCCTATTCGAATTTGTGTACTAGTTCATTAACAAGTAGAAAATGAAAGAAAAACATCGAAGTTGAAGAAATGTGTTGAATTGAAGTGGCAAGAACTGTCACTAACCTCCTTCAGCCATTCGACGATGCTCTGCCATACAATCAGCTTGAGCATTTCGAAGCTGATCCCGAAGTTCTTCTATTTCATTTCTGGACTTTTCGAGTTCATTCTTTAAGGCCAAGAGTCTTTGGGTATTATCGGTATCGCGTTCTTCCAGCTCATCTTCAAAATATTTTCGACGCTCAGCAAGTTCTTCTCGTTGCTTTATGAATATTTCATTTAACGTTTCCTGATGATTGCTGTAATCGAACTATGTTAAATAATAATAAAATGAAAATAACGCAGCATAATGAGTACTATTACAAGGACGTATTTTACAAACCGTAAACAAGTGGTGACTTCACCCAGAATAGAGATGAAGCAAATCGATTTCCCGGACCCAGGAAAGAAAGAAAAAACCCCCAAACCTTTTGAAGCTAAATAATAATTTACAAACGGCGACCTACACATTGAGTGAGTGAATTTCATTCTGAAGTTGTTCAATTGCCTTTTGCGTCTCATTTTTCTCAGCATCTAAGCGTTCAAATCGTTCATTCAAGCGTCGGAATTTCCGTTCAATTTCTTCTTTATCTCGTCGTCTGAAATTTCAGCATGTGCAGCATGCATGAGGTGTTATTTTGATAAATCTATCCCATCCACAGTTTCCAGCTAGTAAGCCATATTTGCCCTAGCCAAGATTGAAGTCAGAAATGTAATCCCCATATCAAGTTCAGCCAAAATTCTATAAAAATATCGCTTCTTATCATATTTTCCAATTAATCGAAGAAACATCAGATCAGGAAGCTTATATTAAAAATCCTTCCAACGAAATATTAAATTGACATTTTATCATTCTCTTTCTTGAGACCCACGAATTCTTCATCATTCTTTCTCCGTGATTCTTCCATAAGGGTTAGCTGATTTTCACGTTCAGATAGTTTGTCCTGGTATTCGCTACACTTTCTTTTATAATCTCTAATTTCATTGCTTTTGTCTTGCAATGCCATACGCACCAAACGAATCGTATTGAAGTAGACTAAGGAACTATCTGAAAGAGTGATTTTTCTTCTCAAGCAGCAGTAATGGGAACACTAAATGAGTTATGGTATTATGCTGCTTATCTTACCACTCCATAATTCCTGTCAGGAAAACTCCGAAAATCATAATGCAAATTTTCTGCCGGATTATGGAAATT